AATTGATATAAAAGTAGGAGTTGCTCAAAACTTAATGCAACTTGAAGGTTCGTTAGATTCAAACAAAAACAAAAAGCATAAGCTTGATGACTTGTACCCGGATCAGGCGTATTCAGAATATGTCTACAGAATCGTATCAACCGGCACTGATTGGTATTTTTTGAAGTATACTCCTGATCAAATTTTCTGTAGTCAAGCATCCGATTATATACCTTTAGTAACAACACAGTTAAATAATGATGAGAATTTGAGGAAGGGAATTAAAACGGTCCTTGGTAAAATCATTTGGATGTTAAAGGATCGAGATCGAACAAACAAGAGACAACACATATAAGAATATATGGTAGAAAAGCTACAGTTGATTTGTATTGTATGTTCTGATATCTTGCAGTAGGACAAGTGTAAAATAACATGAGGTTATACAATAGGCTAATTTAAGATTGTAAATGTTATCATATTGTCTACAAATTCGTATTAAATTTCATTATTTTTTAATAAATTATGTTAGTAAAAAGCTATAATAACGTGAGTCATTTTTGGTTCATTTAAAAATCAATAATTTTTTTGTGTAATTTTTGATCATAAAATTTGAGTGGCTTTATCTATTCATGGTTAACGACTATCTTTCACAATATTTATTACCCAGATGCTAGAACATCCTCACTTAATGAGTGTAAAATCAGAAGTATATTATCTAAAGCCAGCCCCAGAGGCCGATTTGCATATATAATCGCGTTTACTTTTGCATATGAATTTATTTTATTGTATTATTATCGATATATGCTAACTCACATATGATTAAAAATTTTTCTTGGCATTGGTGTGAAGATTCTTCACGCTCACATGATTTTTAATCTGTTTATTTTTTTTCTGTATCGGTATGATTATTTGAATTTATATATATATTATATTAAAAATGTCAAATATACAATCCAAAACTGATTTATTAGAACAGATTTCCAAGCTTGTAACTGAAAATACTGAACTTAAAAAGGAGAAGGCTGAATTCTTAGCTAAGGAAGCCGGATTTATGGCCAGAATAATGGAATTAGAACAAAATGCTGAAAAATCGAGATTAAGAGATACTGAACTCAATGCCAGAATCATAGAACTAGAATGGTTAGCAAAAGAAAATGAAAAGCAATTTGCAACATTGGAGCAGAATCAAAACAATGCAGTAGATAAATTAGAAAATGGCAATAATTTTCCATTTTCTAATGTATCTGACTCTGTTATAAACCATTGCATTGATACTAACTTCAAATTATTAGAGGGTGATATAGAAAATATTTCCAATATTATATCTGATAATACAGAGCATCAAGTATCTGGTTCTTCTGATATATGTCAAGAAAAGGATAACCGATCTTCTGCATCTTCCGAAACAAATTCTAATGATACTTTTAAAAATAAAGAGAGCGAATTTCTGGAACGGGTATATAAAGAACAGATTAGAAATGAAATAAGAGAGAGAAATCAGGAAAAAAAGCTGTTACAAAATAATGAAACATCTACTTCTCGAGATCAAGAACTGATACAAAAGAGTTTTACACCTAAAATCGATTATAATGTTTCAAAAGAACCGATTAGTCAAACACAAAGCACCACTTCTTCTGAAATTAAAATTCCCTATAATTAAAAAGTTGAACAAGGTTTAATATGTGAGTTATCTACATTTATTAACGAGAAAAGCCTTTCAAATTCTATATCTGATAAACAAATTTTTGAAAATATGCTTGATGGAGATAATTTAACTCCGGGTTTTGCATTACATTTGGCCTATTTATTCGACAAGGCTAAAAAAACTGGCCAGAAAGAGATTTTATGTTGGTATTGTTATAGTGAGGAATTCGAAAAAAAAGTTAGAGATATTAGCTTAAAAAACGAAATTAATGATCAAATGGCAAGAACACAGGTTTATAATGAAATAGAACCATTTCTTCCTGGTATCAAGAGAGAGTATTTGTGTAAGAAAATGCAAAAGGCTAGAAATATTTATACATTGTTCAAAGAAATAGAAATAGATAAAATCAACCAAGTTACGTATAGTGCTGATGCTATTTCTAGTTTAACGAGTGTTCAAATCCAAAACATGATAAAACTTTTCTCTAAAAAAAAAGTAATCGGCGTGAAGAATCCTCACATGCACGTGACTGAACCATCTAGCTCAAAAGACATATCAAATATTAAGGCAAGTATACCTACTGAATCATCTTATACCTCTAATTCAGAAAATATGATAAGTGAGGATAACAAATCTTTACCGGAAACTAAGGTAAATACTCCAGCCAATCCGACTTATGACTGAGGATATTTTTGCAACAAGACATTAGATGAATATCCTAACTTATATAGAGAATTTAGTAGTGAAAATTTCGATTATTATGGTATTACCGACGAGACATTATGCGGGGTCTCGAGAGAGACTATCTGCCCATTATGCAAATTAGATCATAATGAAGAAAGTATAGAAGGTAGGTATAAAGCCAGTTCTTACTTTATTAAATGCGAACAGCGTAAAATTGAGATAGTTGCATAGTTTCATAGTTTTATAATTTTATAGCCTATTTGCCCGCGCTTCATTTATTTTTTTACAGGATTAGTCTATGTCAGCTATTAACTAATTTAAATTGTTTGCATTATATAAAAAGAAAAATGACAGAGTCTGATAAAATATTAACCCCCAAATATCTAGATTGGCATGCCAAATTAAGTGGGCTACCAAGCATTTTGACGGATAAGATTCAGTTGAACTTATATAAAAAATATAAAAAAGAAACTAGACATGAGCCGTGGCAATTATCAAAAGCTGAGATAGTGTCAGCAAAACCTCAAGCCCCTGATTTCAAGCCTATCACTTTTGAAGCCAGACCCGATCCAGAGTTTATCAAATCCATGTTAAAGCATTTCACATACTTGAAATTCCGAAATAGTTTTAGAGGGATTGATAATTATAATTTTGCATCACCTCAGTCCATGCCCTATTTGCAATAGAAAACATGGGAATTATGGATTACATGGTGAATGGTACCGCGAAAATAGGAATCAGCTCCCTTATGATCCCGAATTGTATTCCCAAGATAAGTTGGAATATTGTCTTACCTGCAACACTTCAAGTAATAAACTCAAGTTAATTGTAGCATAGGATGAAAATTTATTTTATAAAATGTAACCCAGGTCACGATATCACGTGATATATAGTGGGACAGTATGTGCGTAATTGACTTTTAAATATCAATATTATTTTGGCTTAATTTAGATGACCCATTTTTTTTTCTTGGCAAAGTGGAATCGCATGAATTGGTAGAGAGATAAAGTTAGTTAGAAGTACGACGTATGGTCTTTATTTCATAAAAATCGCGTAAAAATAAAAAATTGGGAGCCCAGTGCCTCCCTTTATTATTATAAAAAATTATATTGCCGGGACAACAATATACAAATAAAAAATATATATATCGCTGTTACAGATGCGAATACATATAAAAAAAAAATTATCTTTTATAAACAAGGATATGGATGTGATTTCCCAGTCTATTAATATCAAAATATTGTGAAACTATATTTTGCAGATCTATATATTTTCTAACATCTCGAGCGGTATCATTTATGTAGAGATCAAAATCGGTAAAAGGAACGTTATTTCTAATCATATTTTTAAGGTT